CTCTGCCGCGGCTCCGGGTGCGCGCCCGAGCTAGCGAACGCCCGACGGCTGCCTGCTCCTTATTGTCCTGTTAATGTGCTGCTGCGTAGGAACGGTGCGTGCGCTCGACCGCTTCACTGACCTCCTCACCCTTGAAGACAAGCCGGTTCTGAATATTACATGTAAAAGAAAACCACTGCTAACAGCCGACCACCAAATTCTGTACGTGAGACACCGAGTCCGACGCGCAGCTCAGTCCAGTGACCGTCGTCCAGCATCAACCAGCCGTTTGTCCCACTAACGCAGCACATATCAGTCGTTTTTCGGCTCCGTTGTTTCTCCAAAGCAGCAAAATATACATATGCACTGGCTATTCAATAAGATTGTCGCTCATTTGTCTCTCCCTTTCCGGACAGAACAGAGGGCACCACATCAACACATACATACCGTTCACTGAAAAACAAAAATAGCCTCTTTTGAGGTAAGAGCAGAAATGCTGTGAAATGTAGAAAATTTGCAGAAACGGTATGAAATGTAGACACCTGCGTAACTGAAACGTAGGCGGTTGGAACTGTTCAGTGTGGCTTTACTAGTGTCAGCAGAGAAGTACTTTCCGGCCTGCTACGAAAATGCTGGCAGCAGTCAGGCTCAGCCTCTTTCGCGCCTGTTAAGCACTGTGCACGAGAGAGGGCACGGCGCGGTGCCGTCCCCGGCTCTCCTGGGAGCGCGCGGCCGGGAGCTCTATAGCGCAGGTGGGTAGGTCATGCAGGTAGATAGCAGAGGTGGGTAGCGGAGGTGGGAAGTGGGGGTGGGTAGTGCAGGTGGGTAGGGGACATGGGTAGTAGACATGGGTGGTGGAGGTGGGTGGCGGAGATGGGTAGCAGAGGTGCGAAGTGGACATGGGTGGCGGAGGTAAGTAGCGGAGGTGGGTAGCAGAAGTGGGAAGTGGACGTGGGTAGGGGAGGTGGGTAGGGGAGGAGGGGACTCACAGGTGAAGCGCAGGGGCCGGCTGCCGAGGCCACACTGCCGGAGGCGCTGGCCCTGGAAGAGGCCGTAGCGCAGGTCGCCCAGGAACTGCTGGAGCTCGGCGCCGGAGGCGTTGACCAGGAGGGCGCCGGTGCGGCAGAGCGGGGCCGCCTG